TTGGGGGAAAGCGGGGGGGGGGGGGGGGGGGGGGGGGGGGGCTTGAATAAACCAATCATGCAATAAGCATGATTTTTGCCAATATTTTTGTAACGTAAAACATTGATGAAACTTTTCGCCGCTCTACCATAAATATTCTTCGACATTTCAAGAGACACGTACATTTTTTTACGTTTCATTTTATCGACGTTTACTGAGATAATAAATCTTGTTCTCCGTAAACCTCCCGGTCGACGGTGTTGATTGGCGCGCAGTCATTATATATTTCGTTGGTTGTAAAACGAAAAATAAAACGGAGTTTTTATTGTAATAGCACTACGCGTCGTATGAAGCTAAATATGTACTGTTAGAAAAATACAAGAAATAAAATGATAATACAGGGCTCGGAGAACAAAGGAGTGATTACGCAAAAAATTGCTTATATATATAGTTAATATTAATAATTAAAATTAACAATAATATATATATATATATTCTTTTTTTAATTTTTATTTCCATTGTTCTCGTGTGACGGCTATACAAAATCTCTTGTTTTTGTAGAAAGAGATTTCTCTCTCTTTCTCGTGTACATGAATAAATTATAAATTAAATTATATAAATGAACATTTAAGATTCACATTAAAGGGTCAATTTTATTTTACCAGAGATATTAGCGTACAAATAGAACGTCAGAAATATTTGGAAGTAGATCGAAATAAATAATGAACACTTTATGAACCGGTAGTTTTTTAATAGTTCTTTTAAAATCGAAGATCAACACTATTTCTTAAAAAATTGTTTAGAAACTACAATAGTAGTTTATCGTACATAAAATCCATCAAATTATTTAGATTATTATAATGTTACAAGTTTTGTTTCAAAATTATTATTTAGGAGAAAATTATCGAGCTTCACACATAAACAGTGAAATATTTCTCAGTACCTGTAACATCTGTATTGTATTTACCGAGATATTGCAGAAAGTGCCTGTTTGCTGTTATTTCCAATCGAAGAACAATTTTTAAACTATTGAATAAATATTATTCAGAAAATAAGAGTGCTGAAAAAGAAATAATTACGCGCGTAGACAAACGTCCCAGCCCCGAATCTCTTTGTTAGCCCGTTTCCTTTGAAACTTGGTAAACAATTGTTCTTATACATAGAATAACCATATTCGGGTCATATCAATCACAATTTAACTGGCAACGATATTGATTTGTTACATCGAATTCCATTGCGGTCCAAAGGGTTAATTGTTCAAATGTGAGCGGTATAACATCGTTTAAGAGACATCGTCGTAGCCAATTTATCATATGTATTGATATAAATTTTGTTGATTGACAGCACGTAATTACCTCGCGGCGCGGCGTTTGCCATCTCCAGCGTCGATTTAAAGCTTAATCAAACGATTGGTAGATACGTTCGAAAATATCTTCGGCTGCACGAAAACAACAAACAACACGTATCGCGCTCCTATTAATCTGACTATGCGACAGTGAAAACGGTGAATTAAAAGAATTATGTAACGTCGTAATTGAGCGACACAATTCCCTGTAGCTGTAACGAATAGATTTTTATGCAAAATGAAAATCGTCTACATTTATTACGACATATATATGTATATACATACATATGTATACATTTATTTCTGCTCTTAATCATTTTGATAAGTCCAAAATAATACTCCAGTATCTTGAAATCGTTGAAACATTTTCATTCTTTTGAATTTGATTCACTCATTTGATTATAAACGCATAAAATCTCTCCACAGTCTAATTGAACAATATTGTATTAGTGTGTTACAGAATATTCCGATAGTTTTCATGACATTTTTTCCAAATTTAATGTTGTTAATCGGGGATGTTCGGCGTTAAAATTAATTTTTACGCACAGAATGACACCGCTTTACAATAATATCGTGCATATTTTTAAATATAAATATTCTTTGCATATTTATATTTATTTAACTACGGATTTTATGCATTTATGATTGAAATCAGTCGATCGTACAGACAATTTTATTTTGTATAAAAATTCGCAGCCTGCTGGTCGCCACTGCGGCGAACGGTAAACCTTTCGAGCACAGTCTGTTCGAATAAATTATTGTAATTTCGTATGTACACGTTTTAACGATGTTCGTTCAGCAATCAACTTGTTAACGTACGATTACGATATTCGGTGCACCGATAAATAATCCACAATAGTGATCAAATCTCACGATTATTCGGTCGATGAATACCAAATAAAGCCTGCGTTTCTCTAACAATATTTATTGTTATTTTTCGACATCGACGTCTGAAAAGAGCGAGTGTCGTTAATATTTTGCATATCTTCCAAAACGCGATAACCTTTTTTAAAAAATTAGACCAAATAACTTGAATTTTCCAAAGACTTTAGACCGACTAGTTTACCAGCCATGGAGCACAAAATAATCAATAAATTGAAATTCGTTGGAACTACGAAACGCATTGTTCAAATTTTTGTTATCGCCTCGGATAAAAAAAAACTCAACAGATATCATCAGTACCTTTATCATTTCAATCAGAGTTGCAAATTTTGCAAAATTGTATTTGCTCATTGTCCAGTAAACAAGTCGGTCTAATGTTTCGGCAAATTCCGAGCCATTTAGTCGAATATTATCATTTTAACTGCCACGCCAACAACCTCAAGAATTTCGTATGATTAAAGTACTCTATTCAATCGAATCAAAATTGAAAAATTAGGTTATACGATATCAAACACTTCTTCGATACGTTTCTGCTACTCGCTGACCCTAATAAAATTATAAAGACATAACAGATTAGCGTAAAAATTAGTTTCCGAATCTAACAAAATAATTCCGTCACCTACATACATATCGTTGACGCGTCAGTGAAACTGTTAAAAAGAGACGTTGCTGCATCAGTCCATAGAAATTGTTAATCGAAATACCACACAAATATCGAGAAACAGTTTCAAAAGGCTATTTATCCTGCGAACAGGCTAGACAATTGAAAATTTGTCCGCAATTAATCGCAGGCCGCGCAATCCTTGTGTTCAGGATGCTGTAAACAATGGATTGCGGACTCGCGGTTGGGCATTATAAACCAAAGCCGATTTCGGGGAAATCGTGGCGCACTCGAAAGATTTGTTAGATTATTACCCCTAACGTTTCTAAACCGCGGCGTTCGTAAGCGCCTCCTCGAAAACACCAACTCGCCGGTCACCTAAATTTCATTGACTTTAGAGTCATGATACGTAGCCGAACGGTTGGCCGCTGTAAATTTTCCAGTCAACAAACACCGTGCTCGCCGACGACCAGTTCAACACTGAGGCATGTCTGCGGCATGATTTCATGTTGCTAACGAGTTATCGCTTGCCGGCTCGACCACTATAAGCCGACGATAAATCGACCAAAACGACCCGATGGCGAAGCCTGTCCGTGCTCGGAACTCTAGCCGGACGAAACCGCCGAAGCCGATCCTGTGCCAACTACTTAATTAGTCGAGTGATGTCGTTAGCGATTCGATCGTTCAACCGGAATCACGAACGATCGATGCTCTCTTTAAGTCGGCAAATTCTGTGGATGCAGCTACGATTAAAAATAAGTTTATAGACTTTGAAGTTTATAGAGCTTTCCACAGAAACGTTTATTGATTTTCAATAGTTAAAAGAAATTAGAGATCGTGTGCACCAACTATAGTACTCACGCGACAAGATGGCACCTTTACGTTTAGATTCCCCCTCTTACTAGCTGCCCCCACTGCCGCAGCTATTGGCTGAAATCGATCAATAAGAGGGGGAACGTAAACGCAAAGGTGCCTTCTTGTCGCGTAAGGAGTATACTCGAGTAGGCGAAATTCGATTGTCCAAAGTTGCTACTGTCTAAATTTGC